CTGCAGGGCCACCTGCGCCCCTCAGCATCACCAGTGCCAGTATGGGATGCAGAGGAAGGTGCAGAGGAGTCCAGTGGGGGCTGGCCCTACTCATGTGGGGTCACTCAGGGCAGAGCAGTTTGGGACAGGCCAGGCAGGGGTTGTGCTGTGCCTGGGCAGCGAGACCTGGAGCTGTACTGACACTGCCTGGGGTGAGTCCAAGGCTGCTTCTGCCACAGTCTGATTTGTGTGTTTGGAGAACTTCTCAAAACCCCATTACTGATGGGAAGTACTGCTCGCAGCTCACAGACATTGCCCTGATTGTTAGGTGGTTGGGGATAGGGCCAGCAGCTGCCTGTGGGGCTGGTAGGGCAGGACAGGGTTGCTGGGTCCTCAGGGAGCTCCTGTGCCCCAGCTGCTGCAGGCCAAAAGCAATCAGTTCAACCCCCATGTCCACGTGGAGTATGAGTGGTGCCTGGGCCAAGATGACATGTATGAGAGTGACGAAGACCTAGATGAGAAGGTGAGGTCCTGATAGGCTCTGGCTTAGGGCCACACATGCAGGGGCAGGCACCTGTACCTGCCCAGCCATACCCAATCCATCTAATCTGAAAATATCCCTTTCTCAGCTGGGTTCTGTGAAGAGAGGGTCTGCTCATCCCCAGAGCTGCTACCACCCCCCTGCCACTGCCCCCAGGCTGGAGGAGGCAGGGGCAGTGTCCTGGGGGGAGTGGCCAGACACCTGCAACCCGCCAGCCGACCACCTGGATGTGACACCAGCCGCCTCCTATGTACCTCCATTTCCACACCAGTGGGCAAAGCCAGGTGAGAGCCTGCAGTGGGATGATACAGGGGCTGACAGGCTGAGCCTCTGCTGCTGCAACCTAGTTTCATTGGCAAAGGGTGGTCTGGGAGGGAGCTGGGCCCCTGATGGGGTGTGAGGGGTTGTCTGGTGGCCTAGGGCACCCTTTAGTCCTCTGCTTCTTGAGGGACCAAGGCTGGCTTGTGCTGGCTGGTGTCCTAGCACTGATCCTTGCTTTGAAGGCAGCACAATGTATTCTCACCCTTGGAGCCCCTACACTGCTCCTTAGCAAGACCGGCTCCTGCCATCCTTGCTCAGCCTTCCCGTGGCATGACCCACCTCCAAGAGTTCACTTTGCTTTCTGGGAGACTCAACAAATTCTGACTGACTTCCCCTCTGCCAGTCCCAGCTCTGCTTCCAACCTGATCTAAAAAGTCAGACCTGCAAGCAGAGAAAAGGAAATCTCTGCCCATGTGTTCGTGCCCATTCTCCCCTGGAGCTTTGCTCAGGAGTCCTGCTCAGTGCCAGCTTGCTTCTGACTCCTGATCTGTTCTTGCTCTGTGTTTAGCTCCCCAGGGGGCATATCCACCCTCCCTTACCAGCTCATCTGTCTTTGCTGAGGACGCAAGAAGTAGCAGGAGCCCACATTTGCCTCTGAGCGTCAAGTACAAGCGCACATCCTCAGAGCCAGTGCCTTGGGTACCACTCAGCTCTGAGCAGCCCAGTCTGACCAGCCTGGCTTCAGGTAATAAAAGGACAAGGAGCCAGACCACACTGGTGGGAAGGACCTGCTGGAGGTCTGCAGTCCAGCACCCACACTAGGTCAGATTGTCTGTGGCTTTCCCTGGCCAAGCCTTGTTCCTGGATCAGGCCTGCAAGGCCTCTTGCTTGAATGTAGGGCTAGGAGATCTGTGGGAGCTGTAGCACTGCATGGCATGCCCACAGCTGATCACGATGGGGCTCCTGCACCCTGGCTATTAGACACGGGTGCTTCCAGGGCAGGGTTATTCTGGGGTTTGCTGAGCTGCTGAAGATGTTGAATTCAGAGAAGAGAATGACTCCGTTTCCATCTTTCAGGCAGTGGATTTGTTTCCACGGGTTCCCTGTGGCAGAATGATGTCCCCCTCTCCATACCCAGGCAGGGTGGCAGGTTGGGGACTGAGGCAGTGGCTTGCAGAACATAACCCTTTGACAACGGGATGAGGACTGCCAGGAGCAGCCCTGGGTGCTTCATGATGGAGGTCAGCTGCAGCCTCCAGGCACCTCTAGGAACCAGCCTCATCCCAGCAGAGCTCAGCAGCATGGGGAGTATGGGGGGACAGAAGGTGCCAAGTGCATGGCCCATGGCAGCTGTATCCTTCCCTCAGTGCTGGCAGCTCTTGGGGCACCTTGGGGTTGCATAGCCCATATTCCACCTCTGGGTAACACATTTCTCACCCCTGACTACATTCTATCTCCATCTACTTTCTGGCCACATCCCCTTCCCCTGATGCCTCTCTCTACCCTGTCCCCAATCCCTCCCCTTTCCAGCTCCCAGACTGATGGGGTACTTGTTGCCTATGTTGTACCATGGAGAAGGACCATGCTGCAGCATATTGCCTGACAGTGGTGGTTGCTCTTGTCCACTCATGATGAAAAGTGGGAGGAGATGACCAGCCTGTGTCCTAGGTGCCCTGAAAGCCACGGACTCCCTCTGCACTCCTGGCCCTAGTAAAGCGGGACAGCCTGGCCCACACCGGTCCCTTGAGGAGCCAGATCCATGTTTTGGCCATACCTTGGATATTCCACCACTTCTTCCTCGGAGGAGCAGTTTGGTAGGTGGCCAGCAGCCAGGGCTAGCTCAGTTCCTACATCTGCCCATATTTATCACCTTTGGTTTTGAACTGAGGTGGAATCAATCCCAGCAACTTCTCATCCCAGCACTTCAGTTGTGACTCTCTGGCATTGATGTCTCTCTGCTAGGTGCTGGGAATGCTACCAAAATCCCCATAAGGCTCCACTGCCTTTTGAGGAAAGCCTTGCTTATGATTTTGGGTTGTTGGCAGGTCAGGGTGCAGTTTTAGACATGGGCAAGTGTGCAGCGTCCACACTGGCCCTGCCTCTCTGTGCTCCAGGGGACCCTCTTCTCCCACAGAATGCTGTGCAGACACAGATCTGTCATTAAGGGGACCTTCCTTGGGTTGCTTGGGCTTGGGGTTTTGCCAAGCAGTGCCACTGGCTCCTCGCACAGACCTGCCCTGAGACAACGGGGACCCCAGACAGTGCAACTGCACATGTTGCAGTCCTGAGGCAGAGGAGCAGGTGCTTCTGGAAGGATGCTCCTGCAGAAGGAGGTGTCTTCTGGATTCCTGTCCCACTCAAACTCCCAGCAACTAACCTGCCACCTCTGCCCTCACTCTGCACGGGAAACCTCCCAGTCTCTCATCCTTGCTCCTCACATCTTTTCAAGTGGCTTTGGGTTCAAGACACTAGAGCTGGTTCAGTTTGTGTCCGATGAAGCTGGGAAGGCTTGATGATTTTCTCTCCTGCTTGCAGAACAGACGCCTGCTCTGCAGGGTCCGTGCTCTTTATGACTGCAATGCTGACCAGGAAGATGAGCTGACTTTCCACACAGGCGAGATCATTGTGGTGTCTGAAAAGGAGGACAGCAACTGGTGGGTGAGTGAAACTGTGTATACTGACCAGCACTGGGATTGCACATGATTCCCTTTCTGTCCATCTCTTGCCTCTGCCCATGACTGTGGGATTGTCACCTCCTACTCTGCATCTGTCTCTACATCCTCCATCTTTTCCTTAGCAAACAAACACAGCTGTTACAGGGCCAGTTCTTCATCCCCTTGAATGTCCCTGTGCCATCCTCACCACTCCTTTTTCTTCCTTTCTCCCTGCAGAAAGGGTGGATTGAAGGACAGCCTTACAGGCGAGGTGTCTTCCCCGCTTCATTCGTTCACGTGCTCAATGAGTAGGAGTTGCTTCAGTTCAAGAAGGAAGATCTGATCAGCTGCTTAGAATGCAATTCCCCAAGCTCCCATCTGTACCAAGGCCCCACCATGTGCTGTCTCCGTCACTTCTGCCGCCCAAGCATCCCTGTCCCCACAGCCCACTCCTTCCATAGGCTGCCAGCAGTGCCATGCTGTCCCAGAGGATCCCTTGACCAGGCAAAGAGAGAGAACACATCAACCTACATGCTCCACACGTGTGCTCCTGCCCCAGCCACCTCCCCATGCAGGACACAGGCCTGGGCCACTCATTGCCAAATGCCCGGCTCTGGCCTCACCCTGACCATTCTGCCTGTCCTGTGGTACTCCCTGCTCTGCCAGAGCTAATGGAGATGATGGTAGAGCAGGGCAGCACAGTGCCCTGCATGGCTCTGAACCCTGGGGAAAGGGGCTTCTGCTGAGGGCTGAGCACACTGGGAGCGTGGCAATGCAAACAAGTGCTGTGCCATCCCTAATTCCTCCCACCCAGGTCTGTCTGTGCTCCAGAAATATGCTCTGTGGCAATTCAGGGCATTGCTCCTTGGGTGCCTCCCTTCCCCAGCAATGGTGGAGAGGACCTCTGAGCTCGCTGCCAATAAATACCAGCTCTTTGGTGCTCTGCATTTTGCAGGGTTGTTCTAGTTTGAATCTCTAGATCCTTCCTCTTCGCTTCTTTCCCTTAGGCATCAAACCTCCTTGCAGGCATCAGAGCAGAGGGATGACCTCCCCTGGATAAAATTACTCATAATTCATCTTGCATGGCTTTTCTCTACTGGCTGTGTTTTTATGGTTGCTGAGGCACTTTTCACAGCCCTCCTGTCCTCTTTGAGCCAAAATCCCATCCAGGTGAGCAAAAGAAACTGGTTGGTAAGGTGCTGCACGCCTGAGGCTGTTGAGATTTCAAGTGTTGCTTATGTCAGTGTTGGCAAAAGTTGAGCCATCCCAGCAGGACCTGTAGGGGCAGGAGGACAGTTCCACTTCAGGCAACTTCTCCCATCCTCAGAGGAACATTTGAATGATTAATTTCCTGATTCAGCCCAGGGAACGCGGGTAGATCATCCAGCTCCAGTGGGACCGGTGGCCACCATGGTGCTGCGCTGGGTGGGAGGGCTGTACTGGGACACCAGCGTGGTGGGCACTGCTGAAGGAAGGACAACAGCCCTGACCTCACTGTGTCACTTGCCGCAAAGTTCTGTTCTCCCCCACGTTGTGACGCAACACTTCCTCTTCCTGTGGTGGTTGTTGCAGCTTGCAACAAGCACTGGTGAGGCCACCAAGCCCGGGAGCATCACCATCACCTGGCCCTGCTCAGTGGCGCTTCCTCTGAGGAGGTGAGGGGCCCTAGGGACAGCTGGCTGGGGACCGGGGGGTCTCTTTCTTGGATCCAGGTCTGGGGAGCTCCTGCTGGTGACCCTTGGGGCTGAGAAAGGATGGGGACAGGTCTGTGGCTCCTGGGTGCAGCCCGATGTAGCAGCCACGTGACCGTGGCATTGTGGCTGATTACACTGGGCTGGGGAACCCCAAGGTGAGGGCACCTCTGGGCTCAGGGCCAGGAGGGGTCATTTCAGCCACCGTGGGGTTGCAGGTGCAGGTGGAGAGGTCCCAGTCATGGAGCAGGGGCTGTGCATGGGCACAGGCAGGGAGATGGGACTGCTCAATCCTGCCTGTCCAGAGCCCTGTCCTCCCTGGTGAGGGGTGACTGCAAAAGGCTTCGTGAGATATTCACGGCACTGCCTGAGTCCCTTGGCTCAGGGCTTAATGGAGCTGCTGGCACCAGCCGTGCAGTTGCCAGTCAGCTTGTCCCCGTCCATGGTCTGCAGCTTAATAAACCCTGAGGCTCCATGAGTGCCTGAACCAGCCCAGGGGACTGCTGATTCCTGGCCTGACCAGCATGTCAGATGGGTGCTCTTTGCTGCCATCACAGCAAATGCTCATGGCTGCTGCAGACTAAGTCATGGGGGTCCACAGCCACCATCAGGGAGAGTGTTGGGGATCTTTGGGGTCCCCCTGAGCCTGCAGGGTGAAGAGCTGGCATTTCACAGCCACTTCCTGCTCAGGAGCACCCACATCTGCACTTCGGGTGCACTGGGGGTAGTTGTTTGCACTTCCCTTCAAGAAGAGGTTATGGTTCAGTTGTTTTCTGAGAGGGCAGGTTTACAGCAGAATGCATCTTGCTGTGGCCACCCGGGATCGTGCAAACAATACGCGCCCCCCCCC